CCTTTATATGGGGCGTTGAGCAATTATGCCGAAAAGCTCCTTCCCCCCCCCGCTTCTTTCAAAAAAAAAATTTTGAGAAAAGGAAGGTGGAATAATTCCCAACGAAGAAGAAGAAGAAGAAAAAAAATGCGATTCATTATTTTGGAATGAAAAATGCGCGCGGTGCCATCAATTTCGCAAACCCCAACATTTTCGGCAGATGCGAAAATCAGAAGACGGTGCATTCGAGTTAATAACATGCCTTGCGCTCAGCGAGCGCTAAACCGATAATAGATGGGCTTCTCACACACACACCAGTGAGTTAGACACAGAGAGAGGCAAAAAAATTGGCGAACCCGTGGCGACGAACCAACGAAAAAAAAATGCATAATTAAAGGGAGGTGGCGAAATGCCGATTCGTCAATCACACATGTCTATATCTGGCCGGCGGGCGCGCGCGCGTGCATGATTAATTGCGCATCATTCTTTAGTCTTTGGTAATTGGCGGGTCCCGCCAAAAAAAAAATTGTGCCATTTTTCATACAACAAGCTTCTTCTTCTTCATCATCATCATCGACGATTACGGTAATCCAATTATATTGCTGCGCGTGGACTCAAAGAGCTATTGTTCGCGGCGGCTGCGGCCAAATATGGAATATCTGTTCTCAATCAACAAAATCGACGAGAAAATAAAAGGGGGGAGTCTCTCTTATTTTTTGGGCGGATGGAAATCGAAAATCAGGCATCGTCATCAATTGTTGAGCTGCGGATATCTTTTTAGTTGAGACCGCCAAAAAAAAAAGACTGCACCACACTCTGGATTGTTGTTGTTTCGCCGCGTCAATGCTCTCTCGTCGGACCCTTTTCGCGTCCGGCGCCTCTTATCTCGACTCGATGCGCACTCGCGCACGCCACCTTTTCTTATCATTTGGCGAAAGCGCGAGCTCGCGCCATCGATTTTCGGTGTTATCTGTCGTTTTGTTGCTGCCGACGTGTCGCGGGTTTCGGCCGCAGCGCGCCAATCACTGATTTGATAGGCGTGGCGTGCACGCCTATCAGTGGGCGTGGCTTGTTATCAGCCGGCCAATCAGCGCGCGCGCGGCTGCCCCGCCTCATTTTCGTTTAATTTTTTCCAGCGCAAAAATACTAAAAATTCATTGTGTGTCGTCACATGACCTATGTGGAAAATTAATCCAACGGGTGTTTGTGTGTGTGTGTATGTGTGTGCCAATTTCGCCTCGCCTCAGTGATCTGATATCTTCAATGTGCATTCGACGAAGCCCGCCCGTCCATATGGCACGCACGGCTGGCCGTGCGAGGGGAGGGGACCCTCACATTCAAATAACGCACATACACACATACGCACACGCTTGCCATTAATTCGCCAATTTTTTTCTCTCGTATCATGTTCATCATTATCTTAAATATCACCAATTATCAGCAATTTTTGAACCGCACTTGCCCCCCCCCCATTTTTTTTCGTTTCCATCACATTTGTCAAGAAATATTATTATTATTCCTTTTTTGGGGCGCGCACGATTGTGAGGCCTGCTGTGTATGTACTGGAGGACATAATTGCCCATACACTGCATTGTTATCTGTTAGACAGTGGGCATTTCATGGAGACACACCACTGCGAATTGATTGTTCAGGCGTTGAGGGGTTGAACATTGAATGTAACAGTTGATAGATATATTTTTTGGCTGCCGCTCAATTTTTATTATCGATTTCGATTGTCGATTACTGTAGGCGACTCATGTGTGCAGTGTGTTTGCACATTCAACACCGGCGATTGTGTACTCCGCACGGATTATCCAAGTATTTTTGAGTTTCATTATTCGTTTGCTATTACGCTCCCTTAAAACTCGTTTTTGTTCGTTATTTTTAGAATTTCCTGTGAGAATTGTTAATCAGAAATTGTTTAGCAATGCAATATTGTTTTCAAATCGACAATATTTCAGATTTTATCGAAATTCGAATTTTTTCAAAAATAATGGAACGAATTGTTTCCACGTGAGGCGAAGGATTGCGCAAAATCGTTTCGCAATCCATTAATGGAGTGTTGCGCAATTGCTGAAATTCGTTTAAAAAACCATTTTTCGCAACGCGAGAAGCAAACTGCTTAAAATTCGGTCTAATGATTGACCAGGACTGGCGCAAGTCCCAAATATATTCCGCATTTTGTTGATTCAAAAAGCCTCCTCCCTCTTTCCCAATTATATACGTGAATTGCGCCGTCGCCGCCGCACACAGACATCCTCCACATATACACAGAGACGACACATCCCAGGGCGTGCTCATCTCATCAACTGATAGGCATCGCGGCACAGCCCGATGCAGGCCCCGCCGGCCGGCCAGCTTCATTGCCTCCCCCTCCTCGCCATTTCGCCAACTATCACCACCATAAGGCCTCCTCCCCATTATTTGTTCAGCTTTTCAGTGTTAACTGACGCGCGGGACCCACTGGTCCCGTTTTTTTTCTCTTATTTTCCAGGAGGGCGTGTCGCGCTTTTTGCCTATGTCAGGTAGTGTTGTCGCCTCATCCGGTTTGAAATTCTACTCCTCCATCAATAATATCAGCTAGCGTGGCGCGCGCGCGCGAGGAAACAACATAGTGTGTGTGTGTGTGCTTGTCTCCTCTGTCTAGGCGCTCTATGCGAATATGTGTGTGTGTGTGTTTGCAAACGAAGCTCATTTTGGATTTCTGTCTCATTCATTTTAATTTTCACAATTTTTGTGAGCTCCTCCAGCTCCAAGCTTCCCTCCCAACAATTTCATTCAGGCAGGCCAATTCAACAAGTGCACCACGGCGGTTCTCCACCGGCAGCAATTATCGCCAAACAATGTTTACCTGGCCCGCCCTGATAATTAGGGGTGGGGTAGAGGAGGCCGTCATGGTCCCGCCCCGGCAGCGCACGGCTTCCGGCCATTGTTCGGGTGCCCACCTCAGTCTCCCATTTCTCTTTCGTTTTCTTGATTTTTAACACAACAAAACCCTATTGTGCTGCTGCTGCTCCGGTCGCCGCGTCGTCGTTGGTAACGTCGAAAAGCGGGGGGAAAACGCGAGCGAGCGCTTTTGAGACTGATAGAATATTCAAGGTCCGGTGAAGCGACGTCGTACGCGAGCCGGCTGTCCGGTCCATTATCTCCATAAAAGGTGGGATCTGAGTGCATGAAGAGGTGAGACATGAGCAAACAATGAGTGGCCCCACCCCACGACGAACCACCAAACGTCGCCAGTTGAGAAGGGGGGGGGGACTCTCTCGCTCTTGATTAAGTGCTGCTGGTTTTCTTTTTTTGCGCAAAAGTGTTATTCATTCGCGTTTCCTGTGTTACGCTGAGCTTTAATGCTTTCTTTCCACGTTTTTTTTTTGACGACTTCAAGACCCACTGTGCGCCTTTAAAGGAGTTTTCATAGCCCGGTAGGCTTCGAAACTCCAAACCACCAACAAAATATATTTTTTTCCTCGACGAACCTCGACGGGGTTATCAGTTCCAGGCGAATGAGCACACATGCACACCCGGCACCTCTCATGACTCCTAGAGGCGGGTGGGCCCCTCAACTTCCGGTGACGACAGCAGCCGGCAGCAAGACGGGAACCTTTTAGTGTGTCGAGTACTACCTCAATCACCATGCACGCCGGCCACGCCCCCTTTCTCCGCCTCGGCGTTTGGTACACCTTTTTCGTCATTCACTTCTTCTCCTTCGTCTTCTTAAGACGAAAACGATGTGGTGGCGGTTTGGCGGTGATCTATTGTTCGTGGCCATATGTGGTTGCGAGCCTGAGATAATCACTGCTCGCTTGTGCTCGCCTCTGCTCGCTTGCTGGCTCACTCACTCAACACTCGCACATATGGCTCCATTATCCGCGACTATTTGGTGTTAGATATATACATATATCTCTATACGTATAGATTTTTTGTTCGAAATGTATCTCCCCCATCCGGATGGCGACCCTAAATCGATTGTAAAACTCTGCTGGCCTGAAGTTTTACAATCGTCGCGCGAATCTCGCGCCCTCGTAAACTATTCACTTATCATATAATCATCGTCATAAATTGTTGTTCGCACCTGCCAATCATATCATACTCGATCAAATCTCGTGGATGCGAGATATGGTACGTTAACACGCATGCCCCGACTTGTCTTGTTTTTTTTTTGTGTATTTCTTTGCTTGTTGAGATCGTCACGAACGAGATGGAAGGCGAAGTTAAACGTGCCGCTAGATGGTTATCACGACTTGGTAATCATCATCATCTCTATCGGGTGCCTTGTCGTTACACCCTTCACAATGTTTTAACCCCTTTTGGCGATTTGTAATCGATAGGAGATGTTTATCGCGAACCTCCATCGTTGTCCTCCTCCTCATTCGCCTCCATTTCATCGTCTTCATTCCTTGGCTGATCGACGATGACGACGACATCAGCAGCAAATTTTTGGCGGCACTAATCCAACATAGCACCTTGATAGTTCTCACCATCCATCATTATATCACCATTGTGGTGCGAAATCGCCCCCCTCTCTCTGTCTCTAATCTTCGTCACACCGATTCTGACTGATTTGGTGCCGATTGGCTCTTGGCAAGAATCAAACGCCGATTATTATTGGCGTTTCTATTTGGTGATGGCGGTGGTGGTGGGGCCACGCCCATTTTGGCGCTCCACCCACATTTGAAGAACGTTTCGCTCACCTCGTCGTCGTCGACGCGCGTTCGCTCGCCTCCAGTCATTCTTGCCCCCCTTCCCGCCAGCGCTATCTCCTTTCGAGTTTTGGAAAGGGGCGAGTGGGTGCCGCTTGGTGCAAAAGCATATCTTGTCCGTTTATCTAATCGAACTATTTTTGCCTAACACCACCAGTATTCTCCCACTCACACTAGCTCGCCTTATCTTAATGCTTCATCGCGGAAATTGAATTTTTTTATTCGTTCTTTTTTGTTCGCCTTCTCTCTGTCTTCATCTTCTCCCGCTTTATGCATTACTCGCTTTTTTATCAATTTTGCATTTTTGCTTTATTTTTACAGATGACACTTGTCGAGTCATCTCCGGCATCGCAATGCCCGTCCGAATCGAGCCCACGTCGCGAGCAGCAATCATCGTCGCCCGTCGAAGCGGCGGCGTCATCAACGGCGCCACAACCATCATCGCCGCCGCCGCCACCGTGCGCTGGATGTGTTCAGCTTCATCAAGATATCAAACAGGTAGGTGGGGGATTTTCGGGTGACAACGTCGAGAAAAAAAAAAGATTGCGTTCCTTTACATTCCATTGTTCTATTGTTTCGATTGCTAGTGATGAATAGGCGCCGCGCGCGCGCACACACGCAAAAAAATTGCGCAATTTGAACTAATGCCGTGTTTCGGAGCACAATGGACGGGGGGGGGGAGTACTAAGCGAGCCTTATCTTTTCGTTTTGGTTTCTCTCAGATACATTTGGTTTCTTTTTCAGAATGTCCAACAAATGATTGATAAGTTTGACTTGCTCTACATGCGAATGGAGAGTCTTCTCGCTGAGAAAGAAAAAGAGCGCATGGATCGTATGAGCGAGAGTGGAAGCGAGGAGAAGGTAGCGCCTCTTTCGGACTCGCCGAAAATTCTGATCATATCTCTCATCTATTTATTCAGGAGGCATCATCGCCGTCGGGAAGCCGCGGATCGCCGTCATTGATCAATGGAAAATCGGGAAGTGGTAGTCGAAAACGCAAACCGACGAAAGAATCGATTAGTCGCGTCGGAGCGCTTCTGGAGAACGGGCTCATCATTGAGAACGGTGACGAGCGCGCCGCGAATCGTCAAATCTCGACGCCCGTCTCGGCGAGCTCGCCGTTCCCCGATTTCGGATTCACGAACGGTTTCATATGTAAGTGGAATTCCGGTTTCTTTTTTTTGTGGCAATGAGAATTTGACGTCCATATACATTTGTATATCGTTTTAATCATACGTTTTGATTGTTATCGGCGCGCGTTTTTTTCAGTCGATCCGATGGCGCAGCAACAACAACAACAAATGATGAGCATTATCGCCATGGTTCAGCAGCAACAGCAGCAGCAACAACAACAACAGCAAACGATTTCAGCCGAGCAAACGCCGGCGAAAATGGCGAAGAGCTCGGTGGAAGAGACGATTCGCGTGAAACAGGAGCCGATTGAGGTGGCGGCTGCGGCGGCGACGGCGGTCACCACCGAAAGCTCGCAGAGTATAATGGAGCAGCTCACCGCGCATTTGAATGGGGTAGGTAGCGTTTGGATTTGAATCAAAAAAAAATCGACGGCAATTGATTTGAAACATTGCGCTTTGTTGCGCCCTTGAAAGGCGGCACCGCTCGTTTCGATGACCTGTCGGCGATCCATCCGATTCGCATTTTGTGCGGTGATTGTTCGTTTTTTTTTGGCTTTCTGCGGAAAGTTGTGAGAAATGAGTTAGATCGTTTGTCGCACATTGCGAAGGTGAAAAAGAATGAGTTGTGATAAAAAAAAAGTGAAGGGTGTGGGAAAGTCCTGTTCAAAATTCGCCATTGATATTATTAATATGTTTTTTGTTTTCAGAAACTCCAAGAGTCCGCTTCTCAGCAACAGCAGCAGCAACAACAGCAGCAGCCGACGGCAGCATCCCAACAGTCGACACAACAGCAACAGCAGCAAGCTCAACAGCAGACGGCGGCGGCCAGTCAGAACGCCTCGTCGCGAGATGACGACTCGAATCCATCAGTGTCGCGTTGCTCGAATTGCATGACGACCCGAACGACGGCGTGGCGTCGCGATCTCACCGGCAAGCTTGTGTGCAACGCGTGCGGCCTCTATTATCGTCTCCATCGGGTAAGTGGTGTCTTGCGAAACTTGTCACATAATATATAAGAAATTGGCCTCCCCCCCCCTTCTCCCACTCCTTCTACCTCTAATTACTTTACCCCTGTTCCATTGACAATGATGATGATGATGATGATGATTGGTTGGTGGTAAAGGTCGTTTCAACTAATTATCGCCGAATGTGGTTTTTGATTGAGATCGCGTTGAGGCCTAATAAGGAGCAGGCGCGCTGCCTTCCCCCGATCACCTACAGTATCCATCCCCCCCCCTCCGTCAACGATACGGTAGGGCGGGCGTCGTCAAATCAGCGAAACTCGTCGTCTTTTGTCGTCTTCGTGGTAGCGCACGCCCCGCCGCCGCCGCCGTCGGATAATTACAGTTGCGATATCGATGATTACCTGTGGATGATTACTACGCCCATTTGGCCAGTCCTACTTTCTTATTGTTGTTCCTCGCTCTCCCACTTCCCCGCATCGCGGTATACCGACGATGAGGACGGCAATTAGGCAGAAGGCGGCACATAAACACCTGGCTGAATGGAATTGACTCGTCCTCGTTTCTTATTGTGTTTTCTTTTGTGAATTCGTTGAACCGCAAAAAAGGCGCATCGAAATGGGGTGAGGGGACGGGGGACCCGGAGGAGAAGTATCAATTGGGTGGAAGAAGCTTTAAGAGAGAGAGGGAGGGAGGGGGCTCTTTTGAACTAACCGTACCCCTCATCAGAGGAAAGGGAGAAGGGCGACTGTAATCCTTGGTGGGGTTCGACGATCGGAACCGGATCAGTCCATATATATATCGTTAATGACACACACACACACACACACGCAACCCACCGTACTAATAAGGCGAAATCCACTGCTAATTGGTCACAAGAGGGGGCCCACGTCGGATTACGGTAGAAATGGTGGGGGGGGGGTTGTTAAGAAAATTGCGGCCTTGTGGTGAGATATGATACACGAGGAGGAGAAAGGTTGAGATGTCGGGCGGGGGGACCCCACTAATTACCTATTGTTCGCCTATTGTGTGCAAATTGAGTGGCGGTGCCTTGTGTCGACCTTGGACGAAATTGAGCCCCCCGTCCCCCTTAGACATAATTCGAAAATTACCTATACAAGGCACCTGTCCTTTGGTGCAATTATCAATTGATTTCGAGTTGTTTGTTTGCAGACCCACCGACCTGTCCATATGCGCAAGGACTTTATTCAGCAGCGATTCCGTCGAAAAGTCAAGGATGATGATGTAAGTGTGTGCGTTGTTGAGCGTTTCGAACTCCATTGAATTACAGACCGCCAATCAATCGGCGATGATCACCCAATTGTTGAATTTGAATCCGATGGCTGCTGGCGGCGCGGCGAATCCGTTCAATTTTCTGGAGCACATCAATCAGATGAGTCAAGCGCAGGAGCAATTGAATAGCAGTGCCCCGGTTTAATGATGATGATGTTGCGAAGCCATGTGTTGATGCACCGCGTGTTTCCCGATTACTGTGAGCTTTACCTATAATTTCTCTCAATCCTTTAACCAACATCCCTTCATCTCCTGCCCTTATCGCATAAATTAATTAATTTCTGTTGACCAATTAAGCATAATTACGATAATTGTAATTTATTCGATGATACGTACCCTTAATTAATCGATTGTTTCCCCCTCCCCCAACATTTTTTTTGTACTTCGGGCCCCACGGGCACCAAATTTGCGCCGCATTTTTTTTACTTACGTTTCAGTGCAGGTTATTCTTGTGCATTTTTCGTTTAAAAGCCCAATTTCACTCGTATTTGTGTGCGTTTTTTTTTGTGTTGCTGAAGAAAAATTCCCATTTTTTGGTCCGAGTTCTAATTGATCGTCATTTCACTTCAGTATTTTATGTTTCTTCTTTTAAATTCCAAATTTCCACATTTGTTGTATGAATTCCTGTACCATTTTAATTCATAATCACCGAATTTTCTTCTCGAGTTTTTCGTTTGTCTCTCGCGTCTAATAACCATTTAAATTTTAATTTTTTGAGCATAATTTAATTGTGAAATTTGAATTAATGAATAAGCGCCCGCAATGAGCATAATCAATACACAAATAATTCTGTCGAATCAATTTTTTTCCTCTTTTCCTTCTTTTTACACTTTTCTTTTTGGGAATCAAGTTATTTTTTGATTTCTCACATATCTAATCAAGTTTTTTTTTCTCTCATCTTTTATTTTTCATTTTGTCTCATTCTATTCCACATTTCAATTTTGTAGTCAAGCAATCAATTAATTGGAATAAAAAAACAAGCCAAACTGACAAAAAATCAATTGTGGTATTTTTTTGAATTGTTGGAAATGCAGGAAATTGATTGGAAAATGATGATGAGTTTTTGGGCAATTGCAGAAAAATGAAAAATTTGACGGGTAAACATAAGCAAATTGGAATTTTACGGGAAAAAATTGACAAATGAATATTTCTGATGTGTGTGCATTTCTGCGTGACGGTGTTTGCGGCTTTGACAATTACAGTAACAATTCGCTTTTGAAAATTGCATAACTCGTTCGATTCAAGCCGGAAAACTGAAAATCCCGGCCACTAAATAAAAAAAATAGTTCGTGGGTATCTATTTTCCATTTTTATCATTTCCCAAAGAGGATAATCAAAGTCAACGAAATTGAGAAAATCAATATTTTGCCCGATAACTGTTCAATTTTGCGTGACGGTGCTTGCAGACTTGGCGGCTACCGTTTGGAAAATTAGGCTCGTTTGATTTAAGCCGGCAAATACGCGAGTGTGTGATGCGATCGTCTAATCAAACGAGCCATCTCATTGACAAAAAGGTGTGAGATGGTCTGATGAGCACATTGTCGCACGATTACCATCGTCATCATTGTCACCTGTCAAATATGACATAATAATCCCCAAATTATTATATTTTATTCGACGATCATTAAAGAAGACCCGTACGCAAACAAAAAGGGAAAGATTCGAAAAAAAAATTGAGTGGGTGGATTAGGTCCATCTGCGGACACTGAACCGGTTCCACCAGCGGCATCGTTCGCCTTCAATTCGCTTCAACATGTGATAATACTTTGTCGGGTTCTTGTCGCGATTCATATGAATACTGTAGGTGTGTTTGAAGCTGTTGCGACACTCGAATTCGGGCTGCGCGAAGAACGAGAGGCCGTTGACGTGGCGTCGCGCGACGCCGGCCTGCTCGGCGAGAATTCCCGTGAAGATCACGTCTTCGGATAGTCGCCTGCAAATTCGTTGGTCCCATAGAGTTTTGTCGATCTGCCGACAATTTCATGGCCCACTGAAATTGTCGGCAGATGGCGAGAAACGCCTAACCGAAAATTGCGCGACGTCGCAAAACTGCCCTTCATCGCCTTGTTGATGAGTAGCTGCGGCAGATTCGCGCCTAAAATCGCGATTCGCTTCCACGACATTCTCGAAACGCCATACCGATGAACGTGTAGGTTCCCGTCGAACAATACGCCGGATAGAGCTCATCGGCGAACACGAATTTCGGCACCGCCCATTTCGTCGACATTCGAATCACATGTCGCGGCACGTCGCATTTGCCGACGATTCTCGGCGCCACTGAAAAAAATAATGTAATTCAATGGGAAAAAAGCTGATCACCGGTTTCCTCGCAAAGTCGAAGATAGTTGGGAAGCATGAGCACGTTGTCGCTGTCGGCTTTCACAAGACATTTGGTTTTCGGGTAGAATCTGAACAAGATCAATTTTATACTTTTTCATCGATAGTAAAAAACCGCAGATTTGAAATAACTCGGCCACGGCCAGATTTTTCAAATAATTTTAAGAATTGACCAATTTTCCAAAAAATGCTTTGTGCCATTTTCTGGGAAACCTCGAAACGGTTGAAATTTTTTATTGGAATAATCATCTGCGGACAGTTTTACGGGTTCCGCGCATCGTGTACCTTGCCTTATAAACGAGCATCGCCATCGTTTTGACACTCAACTCGTAGTAGCCCTCGTCGATGTTGGCAATGATGATGTCATCGTGCTCATTTTGCTCGGCGCGAATCGCCGATCGATGCTCGGCGTCGGGTTGGCCGATGAGAAACTCGACGCGAATCGCGCCATCGTACGCCGACACGTTGGCCCATGAATCGCGAATCGCGTCGCGCAACGCCACCTCTTTGGGCACGCTATTGATGAGCACAAGCACTGAGACGTTCTGATGGTGGTCCCTCGACGGATGAACTTGGAAATTGGTGAAGAAGTCGAACGGCACATGATCGCCATCTGGATAATGAGACTGTCAAGAGTTGCTCATTCTAAGGTGGAGGATGGGGGGGGGGTGATACCTTCAGAAAACACGCCGACGGGTCTCGAGAAGAATTCGAACGAGATGAGTAGAGTGATTGTGAGGACGAGGGTGAGGAAGAGGTATGCCAAAAATGGTAGCCGACGGGAATGATGGGACATTTCCTTATAAGGAATTTGGGGGGGGCGTCTTCACGGATTTGATGAAAGCAAATGAGAGAATTGGCGAATGAATGGGTGTCTATGGATGAGTGTAGATATCAAAAGTGTTTCGTTGCTGATTGAGATCTCCGAACCAGGTGGGTGGCTGCACTTCCACCTTCCGTCTTCCTCGTCGTCCTCTTCTTCTTCCCCCGCCCCCCCCCCTTCCCCACCCACAAATGTTCTTGAATATTGAATTTGTGATATTCGACTTCCGAATCGGCTGCCACTGAATATGGGAAAATGAGAACCTCGAAAAAATTGGCTGCAGAGAAAAATGGGTCAGCCGAAAAATGCGGAAAATTTCGGATTTGTTTCTTTTTTTTTACCAAAAATATCAATTTTATGATTTTTCCTCATGCACCTTTAAAATCTACAGTAATCATTGCTCGGAAAAATTTCCTACAAAAAAAAAAATGTTGAGCCGAAAAAATGTAGGGACCATCATTGAATTGACAACGACTAACCGGTGGTTGTGGGCGGTGAAAAAAAAATGAAAAAATGTCCGCAGATTTTTAAAATCAAAATTCTATTATATGAGATTTGAAGAAAAGACCCCCCCCCCATTGGAATCCAAAACTGAATTTACTCGACTTCTTCGCAATGCCGCCGTTTTCCCTTTCATACAGACCGATTTTCTGGACTCGCACTACGAGATTGGATCTCCAATCTCGATCCGCCCTAATAAGTGCGACGGACCATTGTTCACACGGTTCGACATCGAAATTTCGATCGTCAGCTTCTTCTTTCTCGAGTTTCATGGTCCCATCTTTTTAAAAGGGAAAATTGGCAAAACAAAATTCGTTGTGGATTCTCGAGAATTGCGATTTCGCACTCCGTCGTAAATCTACACTGATTTCGTAGAAGGCTCCGCCCATTTCAGCAGCCATCTGATGCCTGTTTGCTTCAAAAGAAATGCAGCTTTTGGATTTTAAGTTGAAAAAAAAAAAACATTTTGATGAAGCATTAGATAAGCTTTCGATTCACATTTTGATTCAATAAAATTTTTTTATTAAATATTAAAATATATTATAAAAGTGCATCTATTTTGCTACGCCCATATATGAAAAATTTGAAGAAAAAAAAGATTAAAGTGTATTTTTTTTACAAAGAAAAAGTAAATATTGGAAATAAAAAATTAATTAAAGGATCATGACAAGTTTCTAAAATTTTCTATAATTATTCTTCTTTGAAAATGCTCAAATGAATCCCATTCGTACACCATATCAATCAACTCAATCTCATATCTAAAATGAGATTAATCGTAATTGCGAAAACAAAAAAAGCAACTGCTCAATGCTACTATACAATAAGCATCCGCAACATGCTTCATAATGTGTAGCCGCTAACCTAGCAACGCCCAATTCGACCCCCTCTAGCAATTCTTCCAAATAGGGTGACGGCGGATTGTTGCTTTCGTCGGTTGTCTAGTTTTTGAGCGATCCGGAAAGTGTTCACGCCCACCGAGTCGTCCCGACAGCGCCGGGCAGGCATGTGAGGGGGGACCAATTATGAGGTTCAACTCGTCCGGACGGACTGGATTCGTGCCCCCTTCCATCCTCTACCACACATTCGAAATGCCATTATTATTTTCATTTTGTGTTTCGCAATTTTGTTGTTGTTGTTTTTTGCACTTTGTTGAACAGCTTCATTCGATGCTCTCGATTTCCAGACCCCCGCTCGTCTTTCATTTCCCATCGACGCCTTCATTCCTTCCCGCCTCTCTGCCAAAAAAAAATGAGCACGTATTGGCTCAACGCGTTTCTCGCCGCTTCGATGCTCGCCGTCGTCGTGTTCTCGTGCGCGCCGCCCGGATTCGTGCAGAGCAACGATCCGGCGCAAGTCGGCGCCCGCTGCTCCGATCTCATTCTCTATCCCGTCTCGGCCGTCGATCAAACCGATCAGTATAGGTAATTCAATGCTGTAATCTCGCTAGCGAATCTTTCAATTTTGATTCGGCGTTTAAAGGCGCACATCAAGGTTCTCGAAGCGAAAACAAAATTTCGCGTTGCCATCGGCAACCCATCGAATATTCTATTGACCATGTGCGGACCAATTTTTTTTGTTTCTCAGATTCGACTACAGCGACGTCTCGTTCGGCAACACTCACGCACAAGGCGCCACCGTCGCCATCACGTGCACCACCGGCGGACAAGCGGCCACCGTCGAAGGCTACGATCAAGTAGGGACCATTCAAACCGAGAGCCACCCATCATTGAATGTTGTCTGTTCCAGCAACGCGCTTCCATCTCGGCGGCGCCGTCCCTTCTCGCAACATGCACAAACGTCGGCGGTAGTCAGTACACGTGGACGATTCTCGGCCGAATTCTGCAATTCGTCGATTGCCGCTTCTAGTCGCTCCGATCGCTTCAGGACCATTCGTCTTTCACCGTTTATATGTTAATATTAATAATAATAATAATAGTAATGTTATAATAAAATAAATGAAAGTGAATTGACGCTAGCGTGTTCCGCACGGCTAACTTTTTCATTTCATTTCGCAAAAATGTTTGATTTATTCGCCTAAATACCGGTCACTCGAATGACGCTAATTCTTAATAATTGCGCTGCGTCACACATGCTATCGACCCACCGTTTTTTTTCGTCGGAATCACAAAAAAGCGGACCGACTTTATGCGACACGAATAACTTATCACCAGCAAAACGAAAATGAATACATTCGCCAAAGTTTCGACCGAAAGTCAAATAAATAATTAAAGAAAAAGTGGAAAAAATAGGGGGGAGAGAAACACAAAAAAACGAATGATTAAACGCGAGAATCATCTTAAACTTGCTCAATGTGCAATGGGAACGATGGGTGACTCTTGGGTGCATGAACAACAGGGAATCCCGGCTTGTCCGGTCTGAACAGCTCGAGCTTCGTTCCCGTCTTGTCGATGGTGGCAAGACGAACGACACCTCCAGATGAGCTGAAATTGATAGCTTCAATTTGGCTCCAATTTTTATTTCGACGTTTTTTTTATTAAAGAATTTATCCAGTCTCAAAATTTTTGAAAAATCATACTGAAGAAACAGTGTTAGCCGACTCGCTCTATTTGAGGTTACTTCTATTTTCTAAGCTATTTTTTTCAGAGGCATATAAAATAATCAGAATTATCATTTTTAGAGTCAAATTTTAATGATTGCATTGAGAAAAAAGCGCACATGACCTCTCGCAAATTATTTTGGCATTCAGCCAATTTTCCGCTGTCGTCCAAGAATTTATTAACTTTAGAACCATTTTTGAATAAAAAAAAAACAGTAATCTCACCCATCGCGGAAAACCGCGAGACCAACAGCTTGCTTGACGATGGCTTTGCATTCCTCAAGTGACAAATTTGGCTTCCATTTGCTGTCGAGGAATCCTTGGACGAACGTCGATCCAGATCCCGAAGCAGTTGAACGCTGTCTGGTCACAAATCCACCGATTGGAAGGGCGTAGAGCTGAAAATCGCTTAATTCGAGCAATTGATCTTTTTTTTTTTTTTGAAAAATTCAATTTTTGGGGATTTCAAAAAAAATTAAATCGTTTGATATTTCCCGTAGCATTTAAAATATACTAAAAAAATATTGCGGAACTAAAAATTCTGGACGAAAATTGATCAATTTGGCAAAAAATCTACCTGTCCTCCAAGCTTGTCGTCGTATCCAGCAACAAGAACCGACGCCGATAGAGAATCTCTGTAGTTGTAAAGATATTGACGGAAAATCTGAGCAGAGCGGTAAATTGTGACTGGAGCAGCTTCAATCATCCTATAATATTAAGAAAATTTCAATACTAAGCAAAAACAATCTTACGAATAGACTTCCAGATTGTACTTAACGATATCAGCGATGGCTTGGGTGTCAGCGGCGCTTCCTGATCGACAAACCACAAGATTATCGGTGATCGGTGTGATTTTGTTGGTGGCACGCGATGTGATGAAAGCTCCAGCGCTGGTTCGCGAATCGGTTCCGACGACAACTCCTCCGTTGTATTCCATGGCGATCAAAGTTGTCTGAAAATTATTTCAAAATTTTTTTTCGGATTTAAATTCCTCATATCTTACTCCTGTACTGATTTCCTCCTGTGGGTAGAAGCCAATGGCCGGAATGGCGTGTCGTTTCTCCTCGCGCATCGTATCCATGGCTGAAACCAAAAAGTGAGCAATTTAAGCATTTAAAACAAAAAAAAAAGCAATTAAAATAACGATATTATGTAAATGATTGATGTTTTAGATGTGTGAATTAACTTTAATCATAGTTTAAATTCAATATTATTTTTTCTCCCAACAATTTAATTTTTACAGTGCAAAAATATTTATCCCTTGAATTAAAATTATTCTTTAGATTTAAACGCATCAATTCTGTGCCTTGATTTCGATTATTTTGTTATTTTCGAAAGAAAATTAATTCAATTTCTAAAAATATAAGAGAATCTACCAAAAAACTATGAAATTGAGAACGTGGGAGCGAAAATTTGTAAAAAATTGGCGAAAATCAAAGTCGAAAAAATGATGACAAAATGAACGTTTGAATTGCCGCCGCCACCGTAGCACCTGCGCATCAAACTCAGCTGGCACGCGGCCAATTTCCTTAGGAGGCCGTGTGACGGCTTTTCATTCTTCTTCTCACGTTTCTCATTATCTTTCAACATTACCAGTTTGTTTATATCACGTTTGGTGTGTCTAACGTCATTATTTCCATGTTGGCGCGTTTAAGCAACCACTATTTTTGTCATTTTAGCTCAAATCGTTACGACTTTTGTGGAAATTGCTGATTCTCTTTGATTCTTTGAATTTTTTGTTCTATTCTATCAACTCATTTCTTATTATTTCAGCATGTCGGATCAGGAGTGCTACAATTGTCACGAAACTGGACACATCTCGCGCAACTGTCCGAATGCGGATAACGGAGGGCGCAGAACCGGCGGAGGAGGAGGAGGTGGAGTGGTGTTGATTTGAGGGGTGGTGTTTTAGGTAAATACCTTACAAAAATTTCCGGCATTAATGTTGTGAATTTATTGAGATTTTTGAAGTAATCGGGATGTTATGTTGTAATGTATAATTTTTCTTTGTAGACAACTTTGAACTTGAATATATCGCATTTTCTTTCAGGCTGCTACAATTGCGGCGAACCCGGACATATTTCTCGCGAATGCCCACAAAAGAGTGGAAGCGGAGCTCGCGGCGGTGGCGGTACATGCTATCAATGTGGAGGACGTGGACATTTTGCTCGTGAATGCCCGTCGGATCGCAATGGCGGTGGAAGATATCGTTCGGGAGGTCCAGGACAAAAATGCTACAATTGCGGCCGCGGTGGACATATTTCTCGCGAGTGCACTGAAAATGGTTCAGTCGACCAGAAGCGATGCTACAACTGCCAAGAGACTGGACACATTTCCCGTGACTGTACTGCCAAAAATTGATTCATGTCCATGTTAATAATGCATTATTTACCTCCAAACATAACCAAGTTAATCTGCATCTCATGTTAATCGTATGCTGGTTTTGTTGTTGTTTTTCTTTTAAAATTCAAATGATAATAAAATGTTAATTAAAAAGAGAATTATTGGTTGGTTTGTTAACCGATTTGAGCGCGGACGTCGCTCACACGAAACCATCGTCATGGCAACCATCATCCAGTTTCCGATTTGCACTCGACGCCTTGCTGGAGTTATATTCTGCGCGTTACTATTGCCATGAGTTGCTGTTTCCCAAAAAAGCTGCTGAATCGTTCAAGACGCGAGGATCGCTACAAAGTCAAGGACGATCCGGAAGATGTGGAAGCTCCTAGAGATGAAGCCGCTCGCGAACCCCAATTTTCCTGGTAATTTTCACACAATTTTTGCTGCTGTTGCAATTTTGAAACAAAAATTTAGGGAGAAACGCGAAAACGTCGATACAAGCAAATACGTAATAGCGGATATTCATAGCAATATTCATAAGCGAATTGGAATGGACAAGGATTCAATGCAAATCGAAAATTGCACTGTAATTAATTCGTCAAATTAAGTAATTAATTGTTGTGGCGTTTAGGAGTCGTCGATATTCCTTCTCAAGCCCACTGCTAGTTTGACGGTCGATGATTGCCGCGATTCGCTTCTGATTCTTGGACCCTGCTCGGGAAGGTAAATTCAGCTGGCGTCGTTTCGTGTTCAATATCGATTCTAGTCTTTTCATTCGCGACTGCTCGAATTGCACCATTTTGGCGGCGTGCCAACAGCTGCGAACTCGCGATTGCCATGATATTCGCCTGGCGCTTCTATGCCCAACTCAGCCGATCATCGAAAATTCCGATGACGTTCATTTTCATCCACTCGCGCTTTATTATGATGATTTTAAAGGTAATTTATTATTTTTTTTTACTAAAAACGAAAATTAATCAAAATTTCAGCGCAAATGCGTGAAGCTTCATTGAGCTTATTCACGAATCGCGTCGTTTCCGTTCATGACTTTACGCCGGAAACGGGAAAACGCAATTTCCGAGTTCATGAGACACTCGTGTCGTTGGTATTTGATTTTGAAGCCAGAAAAAAAAATTCAATGCGATTTTCGCTTGCAGAAGCCTGAAGAGATTGACGCAATGCATAGTCATGGGATCACTACCGACGAGAAATCCTCGATTCTTCCAGTTTTTCGAATCGCGAAAGACGTACAAATTTTGCGGTTTTGTGTTTTGCCGTCGACAAATACTCGTTTCAGGACCCGTTGGCTCATTCATTCATCTATTCTTGTCGAGACTCCGACGAGACCGCCGACGATTTTGCCGAACGCGGAATGGAGTTCTCAAGAATTCTCAAATCATCCGACATTCATCTTTGCGCCACGTTCGATTTGGACATGACGAAAATCGACAAAAAACTGATTCCGATTCAAGGAGATTATTGTGGGTGTCTCTTTTTTTCTCGTGGTCCCAAAGCGAAATCGGTGGATTTCGAATTTTCAGCGGGTCTCATCCTCTTCGAAGTTTCCGGCGATGCGGTCGACATTCGAAAAATCTGCCAAGACCACTTCGATTTGTTTAAAGTCGCCGACGACGACCTCACACCGCAAATGCGTCAACTCGTCGAGAATCTGAGTGCGAAGCGCGATTGATGAAAAGAAAAAAAAAAACACACACACAGTACAAAGACTATTTCCTTGTGTTTCTCAATAAATCAAAGTTTATTCTCACGACCTTCAGAAGCCGAAGCCCACAGGAACTGAAATTGAGTTTTGTGGTGAAATTGAAATTTTCAGCATGAATTGAACATATATCGAGCGATAGACGTTTTATTTCCTATCAAAATCGGGCGGGCTACAAAAATTCGAAGAACCGGTTTCGCAATTTTTGCGAAACTCTTTTTTCGTTCATCTCAATTGAATCATAAATAATCAATTGAATGAAGATTAACCTTGAGGGCACCGCCGGCCGGCGAGAAATGCAGACATCTCGGCGATGGGAACACCAACCAAAAGAAATCGGCATGAAATTTTTGGTTTGACCTGATTTGCCGAAATGCGGAACGTTTTTTTTTTTTTGAAGACGACAAGAAAAAGAGGATTAGAAATGAAAACATTTTTGATTGATAATGGAATTTATCAGCGATCCGAGAGGGATCGTCTCGAATTTTATTTCCGCACTTGATCTATGATTTGGATACAATATTTCAAATACTAGTCGCTTTCTGAAAAATTGGCTGCAGAGAATCTGCTAGTCAAAAGTGGATGCGCCTTTAATTATCGTATTTAATTTTTTTTTCAAAATTTGAAAATTATTCAATTTTTATGAAGAACTACCGATTTCGGGCTTTTTAAAAACTGGAACTTTTTTCAGTAATCGCAATGTTAAAATATTAGAATCGCAATGAGACCAGCTGTTGTAGATTTACGATGAGATTGATTCGCAGGTTATCAGTAGAAATGGAAATTTGAATTACCGCTTCGGAAAAAAAATGGCCCACAACAATTCGAGGTTCTCATTTTTTTGCGATAGAATTTAACAAAATTAAATAATTGATTAAAGGCTCATACCGTGAGAAATTTTTAAGACTCATAGCGAATAATTCAGTTATTCACTTTTCTTTCCAAAAAAAATATATAATATGATTTATTTCTGCAAAAAGAAAGTGATTTTTAAAGGCGCAGAGTTTTTTTTTTAATAAAATTTCGAAATAACATTTTTTTCGTCAAAAAGTTAAGAAAAACCTTTTTGCTGTCTTAAATCAGCTTATAAATTAAAAAAAATTTAATCTTCGAGAATTTCCGCGAAACATTTTTAAAACAAATCCACAAATTATTGGCAATTTCTAACGAATGGAAGTTTCTTTGATGATTGTCGTCGGATTTGCAAGATCGAGTTGATGGTCTCGAGCGGAAATGCAAAAACATTCACACAGTAGCCGCGACCCAAAGTCTGTTCACACTATTTTCGGCGAAAAATTGGCAAAATTCCAAATATATTCATGAAAATGTCTTCTCAGTGTGCGCCTTTAATCTATTCCCAGGCCCTTAAATCTACACTTTTACTTTCGCGCCGAGACCATCGCCTTCGTTTTTCTGTTGGCACTTAGCCAATTTTCCACAGTCGCACGACGTCGACGACATCCTTTTATAACATTTTTTTCGACTCGTCAGTGTTTGATCAATCATGAAGCGACAAACAAGATCCGATTCGCAACATCATAGGAATTTTTGATTCAAAAATTTCAGGGTCAACTCGGTTCGAATCAAGCGAACAAGATTGCAATTCAAGTCATCATGAATCAAATTCTCTCTCTCTCTCTCCCTCTGATCAAAAATCCGAGCGGCGCGACACGCCTCTTCTTGGAAAACCGCTCATCCTCTATAACTGGTCACGATGAACAGACAAACGATTGCATTGTTTCATTGTTGGGCAAAAAAACGATCATCGGTAGACTTTCACTTCCAGAATGCCATCTTGAACGACGACACGACATGACAGCAACATTGGCTAGAAGAAGAAAAAAAAATAAACACCCAGAGGATGTTTAATTTTTTTTCCACTCTCAACAATTCAGGCAGTGGAACCGATAAATTATTGTTTGCCTCCAAACCAATATCTTATCAAATTCAACGAATCATTCTTCAAGATCGATTCGGCTATTCGGCAAAAAGCTGGTGACGTCGTCGATGATTGATTGCCGTCACGAAATGGTTCCAACGAGCTACGGCTTCGTTTTTGGTGTCGCGCTAACCAACGGAAGAAAAAAAAAACCCAATTTATATAGTTGAAACTTAACAACTCGTTTCAAGCGTTTTGCCCAATTTCGTCACGGCTTTTCGATTTTGAGAGCGAGTATTGACCTTGAACTTCACCACCTCAGCCAACAATTAAAGAAGATGGTTAAACGATTGGTCAAACATGGGCATTAATGCCACACGCATTCTGAGACATTTGAATAAAAATCAAGGACGATTCTGACAATTAATTGAACATCAAAATTGAGCCATGATTCCATCGGATGATCAGCAAAACAATCTGCGGACAAATTCCTTGCTAATTAATCTATGGTCGTTCCTCGATTGCCTTTTTTGCTATCAATTTTTTCAGAACCAAACACACAAAATTGATGGATGATAAAAACCTCGACGCTCGATTTCGATCAACATCAGACCACAACCAAATGTTTTTTTTTTCTGTTCACGAAATTTCCGTGTATACTACTCAATGAAACGTAATCACTACGTTTCGGCGGCGTCGAAGAATGGGGGCGGAGTTTTATTCCGTTTTGCTAGCACGGAAAACCGGCGAAATAGTTGGCAATTTCGAGAGACGCCGTCGAATATCAAGACTGCACTGTTGAGAGGCGTCGGAAACCCTATCGGGTTCGGTATAAAAGTGCTGAAATCGGCGAGAATGGTACTGTCGTCGACATGAAGGTGTTCGTTCTCCTATCCCTTGTCGTCTTGGCTTCTTCTCGCTCCGGTAAGTCATTCGGTTTCGTCGTGATCGCATTCTTATTGACATTGTTCAGTCGTGAAGAGGAATGCCTACGGAGATGAGGCCGTGACTCCAGCACCGGCTGCTGCTCCAGCTCCAGAAGCCGCTCCAGTCGAGCAAGCCCCAGTTGCCGTTCCAGCCCCAGCCCCAGCCGCCGCTCCAGCTCCAGACTGCGGAGCTGCTGCTCCAGCTCCAGCTGCCCCAGCCAGCACCGACTCTGGATACCGCGCCAAGAGAAACGCTTATGGAGACGAGGCCGTCACCCCAGCACCAGCTGCCGCCCCAGCCCCAGAAGCTACTCCAGCTGAGCAGGCCCCAGTTGCCGTTCCAGCACCAGCTGCTCCAGCTCCAGCTGCCAACTGCGGAGGAGCCGCACCAGCTCCAGCTGCTCCAGCCAGCACTGACTCTGGATACCGCGCTAAGAGAAACGCTTACGGAGATGAAGCTGTCACCCCAGCTCCAGCTGCCGCCCCAGCCCCAGAAGCCGCTCCAGCTGAGCAAGCTCCAGTCGCCGTTCCAGCCCCAGCCGCCGCTCCAGCTCCAGACTGTGGAGCTGCTGCCCCAGCCCCAGCTGCCCCAGCCAGCACTGACTCCGGATACCGTGCCAAGAGAAATGCCTACGGAGACGAGGCTGTCACCCCAGCCCCAGCTGCCGCCCCAGCCCCAGAAGCCGCTCCAGCTGAGCAAGCCCCAGTTGCCGTTCCAGCACCAGCTGCTCCAGCTCCAGCTGCCAACTGCGGAGGAGCCGCACCAGCTCCAGCTGCTCCAGCCAGCACTGACTCTGGATACCGTGCCAAGAGAAACGCCTACGGAGATGAGGCTGTCACCCCAGCCCCAGCTGCCGCTCCAGCTCCAGAGGCTGCACCAGCCGAGCAGGCTCCAGTCGCCGTTCCAGCCCCAGCCGCCGCTCCAACTCCAGACTGTGGAGCCGCCGCCCCAGCTCCAGCTGCTCCAGCCAGCACTGACTCTGGATACCGTGCCAAGAGAAACGCCTACGGAGATGAGGCTGTCACCCCAGCCCCAGCTGCCGCTCCAGCCCCAGAAGCCGCTCCAGCTGAGCAAGCCCCAGTCGCCGTTCCAGCTCCAGCCGCCGCTCCAGCTCCAGCCACTAACTGCGGAGGAGCCGCCCCAGCCCCAGCTGCCCCAGCCAGCACCGACTCCGGATACCGATCATAAACATCGGATCAATGTCTTCGACTAATTCAGGACCTTAACTAGTTTTTCTACGGTTATGTTTATACACTGTCTCATTGAAACTGCCCCAACAACTAATAAAAAAATTCTAAAAACCTCCGAATCACTTCTATCCGTTCTCGAAATTTGAGAAATCGCCGACAGTACGCGCGAAGGTCACGTGAAACCAACAAACCAAACGCAGAGTACAAACATTGCTATCATCTCGGTGTAAAGTAGCGGCTACTCGATTCTCATCACAAGGAAATTGAATCTGAATCAGGCAATGGTGAATTTTTATGTGAATCGTTTTTGCATCAAAACTCAATAAGGAATTTCTCGTCGAAAAATATCATGATAGGAATGTGTTGTAATGCAAAAATTGCGTTCGCGTGACCGTTTATCAAGAGTTTAAACTATTTCAGTGAGACTGAAAACAGCCGCGAAACGATAAACTTTCAATTATTTTTTTCGAAAATTACGGAAATTCTTTGGCGAAATTGGAATACCTCGTTTAAACCCATTGAGCCTTCATTGAAAAAAAAAATTTTAAGAAAATGTTAACCTCATTATTTGAAGAGCAGAATTCAATTGGACGTTCATTCCCAACAACCGGACTTGCACTTTGTCTCGTCTGGAATAGTGTCAATAAATAGACAACAATAGAAATGCCCTTCAGGGGCCGGCTATTTTCGCAAGTGCCTTGAGGGCATTCCGAAAAACAACCATTAATGATCTGAAGATTGACCTATTTGGTACTTGAATACAAAAATATTGGTAAAAAAACGAGTTTCCAGGCCTATAAATATGTGTTGGAATGCAGAAAAAAGTGTGGGCATAACATATGTCGCTGAAATTATTCGCCGTTCTTCTCGTTATTAGTGCCAGTGACGGTAAGACGCTTAATGAAAATTTAATTTAGTCATTATTTTGAAAAAAAAAACGAATTTTAAAAAAGTTATAATAAAAAAAGGCTCGAAAATTGTAAAAGAAAATTCGAAAAATTTGAAGGTGACGATTTACTGTAAACAACGGGCACTGTGAACAGTGGAGTGTCGTTAATTTTTCTTTAATTTTTTTTTTCAGCTTCCCGCGTTCGTCGAAACGCCTACGGCGACGAATTGGTGACACCAGAAGTCGGCGGAGCGCAAGTCGAAATCGTCAAAGAGGTTCGCGGCGGCGCATTTCGTTTTCAAATTCAAAGCGCTTCATTTAGGTTGACGCTTCGACAGTGTCGCAAGCTGAAAACGCGGCGCAATCAACAAACGTCGAAAATTCGGGGTATCGCGCGAAGCGAATGTCGCAGAACGCCTACGGCGATGAGGCGGTGACACAATCGAGCGACACACGCGCTCACACGATAATGGTTGTCGAGCACGCGCCGGTGGCCGTCGATGTCGGCGGCAATTCGCAAGGAAGTGTTCAATCCAGCGGATATTGATTGCAATAAACTCTCATGATTCCAATTTTTGTGTGTTTTTGTGTCTATTTAGAGCTTTTGTGTACCCTTTGAGGAATAATAGGGGAGGGGGCGGGGGCAAACAAAGCAACGTCTAGTCTCGAACCGGACCGGTCACGCCCGGAACAACAACACCTCGAGCCGCACCGACCGCCGCACAAATGAGCACGATGACCGCCAACTTCCTCGTTTTTGCGATTCTCCTTTCAAATTTCATTTTTCCCTCGCAGAGCATCAGCAGCACACAGAGTAAGTCAACATTTTAATTTTTTCAAAAATTTTTTTTCAAAAAAAATTTTTTTTTGCGCCGAAAAACAAAATTGATTTCCTTCTTCGTAATCCTTCCGATTTGAATGTCCAATGATCGTTGGTGAAACTGGATTCGCCGGATTTGTCGGCGAACCAGCACTTCCTCGAAATGACGCGTGTTGATCGCGATAAAAACGTCGGCTATTTTCAGTTGAGGTCGTCGGACCATGCGTGAACAACATGTGCCCACACTCGTACACATGCAATCGCGATGAATGCATTCGAGAGAAGCGTGAGTATCCATTACTATCACGAGAGTCAATCTCGAAGATTGTTTTCAGCGAAAGCTCGCGCCGGCGCGAAACCGATCGGACCATGTGTGAATGCTCAATGCCCAGTTGGACATGTCTGTATTAGCAATGACAACAAATGCTACCCGTTGGCTTGAAATTTTTATTATTTGATTTGAAATTGAATGTACATAAAGTTTTAATGAATATGGGCATTTTCGTTTGGTCCTCGGAAAATATTCAATTATGAGATTCTGAGATTTGAATTTCGCGCCGACATCCCATAGCTCTAAATATTGTATTTTGTGCGTTGGGTCTCGACGCGAACCGTATCAAAACTCAAAATCGGTCAATGGAATCGCTCCGAAATGAACGTTTTGGAACACATCTGATCTCTTGGCCATTGTTTTTTTTCCCCAGCGAAATTCGCTTTTTCGAAAATTGACAGTTCGAATCCCACATTTTTATTTGAATACGAGTGCTTGGAATTAAAAGTTTTTTTTCTAATTCAAGAAAAAAATTAAAAATCCAAAATTGATGTAATTAAAAAAAATTTTTTTGAAAATAAATACATTTTTTGAAGAGGTTAAAAAGAAAGAGGAGTTCTCAAAAATCCAAATTTTATTCATTTTAATCTATTCGAAATGTGAGTTTTTTTTTGACGATTAGAGATCAATTTTCGTGAAAATCTTGGCATTTTTTATACTTGTGAAGTCCTATAATTCTATGTGGGATCCCCTCATCATTAAAAGGGACTTGAAGAAATTGATTTCAAAAATTATGTAAAAAAAAATCTAAAATCTAATATATATTCAGTCGAGTTTCCATTTTAGAGTCGACGCCGAATTTTCAGAGTAAATTTTGCGCAAAACTTCCAATTTAACGGAAAACGACCTCTCAATGAAGATTAGACGATCATAGTACTCCATTTGGACCTCCAATCGGACCATCTTCACCGAATAAAATTCAATCCTTTCAAGATTTGCCTTTTGACATTTTTGGCGTTGCTAAAAATTTCCAGAATAAACGAGCTGCTTAAAGATTTGTGGAGGCCAGACAAAATTACAATTGGGGTTATCTAATTCCCAATGTCATTTGTCTTAAAATAAGATGACAATCCAAAAAATCAAATGCATTAAGATCCAATCCAATCGATAACACGATGGTCCGGTCCGGTCCAGATCAATGGCACTCTTAACCAATTTGACATGATTTAGTTCTATTACTCTCTATCACAAATTAAATCATTAATTAGCTTTTCATTGAATTAATCAGAATTCGTTCCGTTCGAGACCCATGGCGGCAATTTAAAAAAAATACAATCAAAATTCGTCCCAAAAAATTTGCAACAATGCTTGAGAGATGGCTTTTTTGAGATACCTAAGTACATTCTATTTACTGCGTTTGCAAACTTAAGTTTTCTCAGCACAGCACACCAATATTTGTTTTTGAACCAAGTCGTTTTGAGAAAAAAAAAAACATTGAGCTTCATAAAATTATTCGTCAACGTTGAAAATCGTAGCAGGAAGTGTTTTGCATGAAAACAACAAATTTTTTAATGACGACATTTCAACACCCCGCCCGCCTATTTTTTCCGCGACGAATCCTTCATTATGGAAAGCTGAACAGTGTATTAAACCGTCGAAAAGCATCGCATCTAAATTTTTGCGGAAAATCGATCGATGCGAATCGTCTCGGTCGTCATGAGATTCCTATCTTGGGCTTCATCCCTCTCGCGTCGCTGCCGCTTTTCGGCCAACGCTTTCGCGACGCCACCACTCGTCAAAGCGATGTGGATTCGATGCCGAAATCCATATAATGTTTGTGCATTTCTCATCGGCATCAACGTGATTTTGATGATATTCCGCGCGATTTTCATTCGAGAGGTAATTCAGTTGGGGGGGTGTTGGTATCGAGTTGGCCAAACAGAATTAACGAAACATTTCAGCCGCAGACCGACGCGAGAGCCGCTCGCGAATGTTTCCACAAGCACACCAACACATTCGAATCGGAGGATCAATTCTTCAAACGGGTAATCCAAATAAGCGTCTTTCGAAAAAACCTTAACCCCGCCTTCAGCTGTGGCCGACGCTGCACGAGGTCGTCGACAAATGCGCCACCAAATATTTTCGGCATCGCATTATTAATTTCGGATGGACACCGGAGACGACGATATCGTGGCTCAAATGGAATCTGGATGTGGGGCTGCTCATTTTTTTTCTACTTCAATCCTATCTACATCATTTTCAGCTTCCCGAACACAACTGTAATGTGGTGTTCGTTCACAATATGAGCCATGTCGAGCTCGAGGTCTGGTTCAAACGCGAGTATCCCAAATGCAAAATGTACTCAGTGAGCCCGAATCATGAGGTGAACGATTTTTTTTTTGGTTTGGTTTGTATGAATTCTGCACCAGTACTAGACGAATGCGATTGGAAAGATTTTATCGAATACACTAATCGACAGCATTTTGTCTTTTCTTATTGCCCATTGGATTTTGAAATAATCGAAAAATTTTTATTGGCATCCACAAGAAAAAATCACATCTTGATGTGAGCAAATGTGGACCATCGCGATTTTTTTTTGGTAAGGGAAGATGGCGGCAATTCAAATTTGCGTTTAAACTGTGAAATGCTGAAATTACGGCTCGTCGCAACGCTGTGGCCGAGAAAAATTGGTCGACACTTTCAAACTTAACTCTACTAAATAAAACTAACTGTGGCCGTGGCCGAGCATAAGTTTTGAGGGCATTTTTTCTAGGCCACACCAGCGGCCAACCGCTACTAGAATATTTCGCATGAAGACCTCGTAGTTCAGACAGGTTGAGATTCACGTTTATAAAAAAGATTTTCAAAAAAAAAAAAAATAAATAAGCGTGGGCGCACGCGAACCGCGACGCATCTGAAGACATTGAATTTGTCTTTTTTCTAAATTAAAAAAGTCACAATCATCATTTTATCAGCGAATAAGAATTTCAGGACACAATTCGATACAAAAATCCAGAATTCTCGCCGATTAAGATGAAGCATCGTTTGAATCCGCAGGCTAGAAGCATCAATTGGGGTGGCGAGCATTGTGAGTCAACACGTTTTCGTTGTTCGAAAAGCTTTATGGACTTTTGTGGAGAAAAATATAATTAAAAATACATAGATTAAAGGCGCATAACGGGGCAATATGATTTTGGTCTTGTGACGATTAACCATATATATTACTTGGTTGCTCCGGAATATAATTAAAATCGTCATCTTCAAAATATCATTGAACCATCCAATAAAATTAACCCATCGGAAGATATTGGTCTCGCCACGATCGATTCCACGTGATTCATAAGTCTACTGTAATTTTTATTGCGCTTATTAAAAATAACAAAAAAATTAGTATCCGCAAGTTTGCGTCAGTGTGTAAACAGCCAAGCCAGATAAAATCAATGGCTGGTTTTACTTCCGCAAAAAAAGGAAGATCAAATCTTCTAGCCATCTTTTTTTGAAAGAATATTAAAACAGTATGCTCCTTTAAATTGTCTAATATATTATTTAAATAATTTGTTAATATAGTCATCGTCAAAAAAAAGAAGAAGCCAATCAATTGGTTTAAGATTCCCGCGATGCCGATTCGCTGGATCTCGTCTACCTGCTTCACGTGCAAATCCACAAAATGCGCTACGACGCCCTCAACATCTTCGTCGACGGCAACTCGCACATCAAATCGCTGTTCACTCGATCGCCGTTCGACGACGCCAATCTCGCCGCGTGCCAAGTGAACGTCTTCTACGATCGTCCGAAGACGCGTCTCGAACGCCGCGAGTTCCGAAGCACATGGAAACGCTTGTTGTATGATCGTCGGTGAGCGTCAACCGAATACCAAACATCGGGTGTGGTTCGAATTGAAGGTATCTGGTGGCATCGGTGCATCGCGCCAACAACGGCAATCAATTGCGCTTCTTCATCCTCAACATCAGCGATCCCTATTGTTGGGCGAAATATGTCAGCAATTTGCCGTTCCTCACGAAGAACATTTAAATTTTTTTTTTGCGAGACGCGTTTTCAACTTCAACGGGTTCCAACTAATTGTATCATCATCATCGTAATAAATCGATTTAGCGACTAAACTATATATAATTATATATGTCGAGCTCATCGTACGCTATCATTTGAGCCCCGCGCACGTGTTGTCAAAGAGCGGCCAGCAGATAAGATAAATGACTTGTTACGCTATTGTTTCGAGTGTGTGTGTGTGTTGGGCTCCGTGAGCATTGTTGACAACACCGACGAAAGCAAATCTCGACACAACCATGATCTTCTTGTTAACAGCCAACAACGCATTCATACAAATCGTCGAATTCTCAATTATTGATGAATTTTGCAGGAATGTCGCATTTCAAAATCGCTCTGATTTTGTGCATTTTTGCCGTCATCGCAAATTCGCATAAATGTAATGGATCTATTCAGTGAATGTAAATTAAACAAAAACGACAAATTTTCATTATGCAGCGATGTCGTTTTTGTCGCAATAAGCGCTTAATTTTACTGAGGGGTACTGTAGATCGCGGGTCGATATTTCAAAAAAATTGGCACATGCTCCTTGAATATCGATTTTTTTTAAATATTTTTTATATTAAAATTTTCGTATTTTCACTCGTTTTTCGCGGATTTTTTTTAAATAATTTAAACTTTTTTTTGAGTAACACTTTTAAATAATAATTTCATATCGTTTTCGTTTTTTTCTATTCCAAAACTGAATCGATTTTATTCGAATATTGTTTTAATTTAAAGAAATTGAATATTTCAGATCGTTCCATGGCTAATTTGGATAGGTTACGAAATAAGAAAAAGGCTATAGTAAGAAATACAATTTAAACAAAAAACAAATAAATGAATTTATAGATTGCACTGCTTATGAAAAAACGAATTATTTTGGTTAGGATATTGAAACAAAATGCATTGAATGCATCTGAAACAATTGAAGTGATCAAGAAACAGAGCTTCGATCTTTTTTGTGAAAAAGTCAACCGATTAGTAGATTGTGGTGGTATTGAGGTAAGGAAACAAGTAAAACAAGTGAATTTCTGCATAAGTAATGTAGAATAAATTAAGTTCGTGACCGGCGTTTCTAACAGCACGTTCATGGAACTTCTGAAGATATGCCGAAATCACGAAGGTCGAATCAATGCGACAATTCGATTGGCAGTTTTCTTAAAATACACAAGAGAAGGTTATTTTTTAGTTGTTTGTTAGTTTTTTACAAGCATTAAAATTATAAAATTTATAGGTATTAGCCAAAATCTTCTTGCGAAGGAAATTGGAGTTTCGCAATCAACGATTTCTCGACTAGTTAGAGATACAATCGAGGATATCGTCCAAGTTGCCGGAGAACAAATCCGATTGCCACAATCGAAGAGAATTAATTCGTCTGGAAGAAGCATTTATGAACTCTTCTGATCGAACTCCTCGTCGAAGAATTCCATGTTTTGCCATATTGGATGGAAAGCATTGGAAGATCGAGCATCCTGCGCATACAGGATCGTTAAATTATAATTATAAGTCGTTTTATTCATTTAATTCTCTTTTTTGTTGTGATGCAAACTTGCGTGTTATATATTTGCAAATCTCTGAGCTTGGAGTAAATTCGGACTCCCAAATGTTCAGAGATGGGCCTTTGGGAGCACTCCTCGAAAATGTAGCCACAATAGGTGGATATCGCCCGCTTCCGAATTCATCCATTATAATGCCTCCATTTATAATTGCTGATAACGGATTTGGACTATCTAAGTTTCTTATGCAACCCTATAGGCAGCTTTCCTTGACTCCAGAAAACATGCGTTTTAACGAGATTATGTCGGCAACTAGGGTGAAAATTGAAAATTTTTTTGGTGTGATGCAGTCGAAATTCCAGATTTTCAAAAAAGCCCTTAATATGGACCCGTCTTCTTCGCGCGCCCTCATTGTAGCACTTTCAGTTGTACATAACATATCACTAGGTGCTCCTCCCGATCTTCCACCTGACCACAACTTTCCCTTACTTCAAGACCCATACAGCGATGCCGAAGATCAAAGAACGGCATTAAAAAATTATCTTCTTTATCATGTTTAATGTTTATCTTTTTAAATTTAATTGTTAATATAATAAAAAAATACTTAAAAATAATTTTCGTCCAACAAACTGAGAGAAGTCGTCTGCTCATTTCTTTTGCCCGTCGGTTGGAGATCCATGATGAAAGCGATCGCTTTCGCTTCGGCTTGAATTTGATCCAATTCAGGCCAATCCGCAACGTGGCTGGCCATGACCCTGCACAATCGGTCAAATTTACATTTGGGGGTTTCCTTGGCTTCCTCATCATTCGATCTAAGCAGCTGCTTGATTTCGCTGTTCGTCTCGCGCAACATACTCATCAGCTCATCGCTGTCTAAAACATACCCATAAAACTCCATTTTTTATTGCTAGAAACCTGATTTTCTTCGTTTAGCAGTCTTCGGACTATCCGAGGGTCCCCGCGATTCAAGCAACTCAATACTTTTATCACCGCATATGAAGGCACTGTAGTAAAAAAAAATTAACAAAAAACAGGTAAACTTACTTTTTAACTTGTCTTTTGTGTCTGACTCCATCCAAAAACTGTAAATATTCCGCAAACGGAAATGATGATTCCAATGTTCCAGTTCCAGATCGAGCATTTTGGATTCGCAACACATGTCTATTGAAATCGCGCGTTATCGAATCCCACAATTTCCAAGCCGTCATACCTAAAACTTCAATTTTACCGATAGTGGTTTTGAAAATACCATTTGGTCTTCCGGCGCGGAGAAATTTCTTGCACATGCTTTCGATATTCTGAAAGACCTTAAGCTTCAATTCTCTCCTGTGGTATTCTTTAATAGATGAGTCCCAAATACTTGGGTACTGCTCAACGGTCTTGATGAAGTCCACAATAAAGTGTTGTGGAAACTAAAAAAATTTAATTAATTTATAAAATCCAACAATTCATTTTTAAATACTCACCGCTTCATATCCGTCATCTACAAGTGGCTTTCTCCTTCTCGTGCGCTTAGCTTCTTCACGCTGTTCAGCAATTGGCAAATTTCTTGGCCCATGTGCCTCCACCACGTCTTCGACCAAAGAGTCGTTTCCTTCATACTCAGCGAATGACATGCTTCAAAAAGGAAATATATGCACAAATTAGTAGTTTTTATGAATATCACCAAGTGTTACTCAAAAAAAAGTTTAAATTATTTAAAAAAATCCGCGAAAAACGAGTGAAAATACGAAAATTTTAATATAAAAAATATTTTTAAAAAATCGATATTCAAGGAGCATGTGCCAATTTTTTTGAAATATCGACCCGCGATCTACAGTACCCCTCAGTAAAATTAAGCGCTTATTGCGACAAAAACGACATCGCTGCATAATGAAAATTTGTCGTTTTTGTTTAATTTACATTCACTGAATAGATCCATAAGGATTGGATTTGAATCGCAAAAAAAATGACGATCATGTTTGAATTGGCGCCTCTCTGAAGAGAAAGCGATTCGCTGCGAGACCCACTAAATTTGAAAATTGATGGTCTGAAATCAGTGGATTTTAAGGCAAAGAAATTTTCGAAGAATATTTTTTTTTGGTCGTAGTTAAAGGCGCACTTCTAATCATTTGATTTTCAGTGGATTCCTCAAAAAGCCAATCAATCGGAAAACCGGCGCCTGGTAGCTTCATCGCCCTCAAATCGCCAGCCAAAATTTATGATTGTAGGCGGCGATTATCTGAAATGCCAGAAGGAAGTCGGCAAAATCGAATCGGAGCACGACATTGATCGAATCATCACTCCGGAATGGCCTTGTCGCGAATTGTCGATCATCGAGCGACGGCGAATTTTCGGCGCGAAATTCGATGAATATGAGGCGAAATTTCGGCAGAAAAACGAACGACAAATCATCGAGTATCGACGAATGAAGAATTTGGAGAACAATCATAAATTGGACGACGTTAAGGCCATCAATTCGGCGAATCTCTTCAATTTCCTCGCTTTTGCCATTTTTGTTTTAATTTGGTTTTGATTTAGGTAATTTTTGTGTTAATTTCATAAAGATTCCTTCAAATGCAATAAATCAACCTCGTCCTTCAAAAAATGTCAAGTTTTAGATGCATTTTTTGAAACCCGTATCTTTATTTTTTTGATCTACCATCATCTGCACCGAATGGCAGCCTCAAAAATTTATTTGCGATATTATTCTCATTTCCAAATCATGTGCTGCAAAATAAAAATCCCCAAAATAGTTTGCATCTGTTCCATCGCCGTCATTCTAATTATATGCGGAGATTATTGCAATTTATTTCGAGGTATTTCATTTTCGACAATTCTCATCTCGAATTCTCTCATTTCAATAATTTTTAATATTTTAGAGATTTTGTATAAAAATGGCGAGATGAATACAACAGAACTGCCGATACAGGAAACGACAGGTTGGTGAATTAAAAAAAATATATATACCGTAATTTAAAGGCGCGTGTGAGTTTTGATGAGTGGTCTCGCAACAAACTAATAAATAATCTGTATTTCTTCCATTTTTTGAATCTTAATATTTATATATATTTTTTTGCAATTTCTGCTGCCTTTTTTTGAAAAATCAAATTATTTTTAATTCTAGAAATATTTAATACTAATCTAAACCATTTTTCATTTATTTTCATCACAAAATTGATTAATTTTTAGTACCAATCAAAGAAAACAAGCGAACGCTCGCAAATCGCTGCCGATACGAAATGGATCGTCTCAAATTAGTCAATATAACTGAAACCGAGGACGCCATCGATCGGCTATTCCGATCCGATGGGCCATGCCGTCTGATCAGCAAACATGACCGAATAAGATTTATCGGAAAAGAGCGCGCAGCGTATTTCGAAAGCATCTCCAATTTGACCAATCTAACGTCTGCTCATCTGCAGCGTTTTAGCTACATGCCTAGCGGGGGTCACCGTCATAAGCGTTCCATCACGAAAAGCAGCTCTTTGGATTTGTTCACATCATCGCTTGCACTAACAATTTTACGTTGTTAACTACAAAAGTTAATAATTATTATAATAATACATATTAACATTAATATTATTTTTGTATATAATTGAATAATTTCCAGATAAAATCTTCATTGTGCCATTCATCGATCAATAATAGTACTAAAAATATGCGAAAATCCTAACTAAAGAGAAGCAAAAATTCACCCGGGAAACGAACAATGAGATAATTCTATTATTAAAAGCTCAGTAGTTGATTTAAGGCGACAACGCAGCGACCGCTTTTTTCGCCGCATCGTCAAGATTGTTGGCGGTGAGAATCGGAAGTCCCGACTTCTTCATTATCAATTTGGCCGCGTCGACGTTGGTGCCTGCAAAATTCAAATGAGCGTCCGCCGGGCCCCCCACCGTTTGACACTAAAATTTATGTGCGCTCTTTAAAGCGCAACAATGGTCTTAGAACGACCTTGCATGGGTGGGCAATTTAGTCAAGGACAAGCTAACGTTTAACTCAAATAGCATCGCCCACATTTGAACTATTGGTTCGATATTACCAAATTGCTAATGCCAAACCTATTCACGAAGAAAAGTTCTTATCACGGCTGTGCATTTTTCGCTCTTTTTTGCAAATTCGTCGAAAAAGGCCTATAGTAATTGGATGTTTCGTTGTGAGAACAATTTGATAAAAACACCATGATGGTATAAGTTTTCCCCGATAATTTTTGAAAGTTCAAAATATCGCTATTGTCCAAGTCGCGGATCTCAAGGCTTACTATACAAAGAGTTGGGTCTCGCAACATGTGTGTCGATTTACGCGCGGGGGGATTTTCACGCCACGTAATTTAGTAGCACATTGTCTGTGTGGAGTACACGGCGCTCGTCTCGCGACCATTTCCGGCCAAAAAAGTGTTGCCAATGAATTTCTGGTTCTCTCACCTTCAAGTCGAACAACCAATGGCACTTTGAGCCCAATTTTTCTCGCCGCATTCACCACACCATTCGCGATTGTCGCGCAGTTCACAATTCCTCCAAAAATGTTGACAAGAACACATTTCACCTGGAAAAAAAAATAAACGAAAAGAAACACTTCACAAAGAATACACACACACAATACCTTCGAATCGGACGTGATAATTCGAACCGCGTTGAAGACGGCATCCTCAGTGACGGCGCCACCAACATCGAGAAAATTCGCCGGCTCGCCACCATGAAGTTTGATGAGATCCATCGTCGCCATTGCCAATCCGGCGCCATTGACTGCAAAAATTCTAGGCGTCTTTTTCTCATTGACAATTTTGATCTACGCGATTTTGCAATAAGTTCGCTTTCTCCCCCCGACAACTTCTTGTTTTAATGGTTTATGGTTCGCCTCTCACGAATGAAAAAAAACAACAACAACGATGGGCGTGGCCGGATTTCGCGGGCCAATCTGCACTACCGCCTTCGCCCATTCGTAAAGATTGGTTTCAGGTTGAAATCGTTCAACACATGATTCGCCTCATCATATTCGTGTGCGCGTTGCTCCTGATAAGCACCAGCTTTAACAAGTCCGAACACAAATATAGTAAGTGTTGATCAACGAAGAAAAATCGAGTGGGCAGTTTTCAGTTGTCGATGACTTCGAAAGAGATCTCCTCTCCGACGGCTACAGAATCAGCAACGAGCTTCAATACCGTAATCGGGAAGGATTCAAACCAAGATTCTCCCCGAATGACTATGTACCATTCGGCATGTTGCGCCCCACAATTTTCATATTTCACGAATAGCTTTCAGATCACACGATGAACGATAAAAAGACCAACTCGGTGAGCTGCGAGTTCGAGGTCGAGCGCCTCGAAGACCACGCGTTGGCGAACACAACGCTCGGCGAGGTCTACTTGCTCCGCAAAGACTTCCCGTGCCGATATCTCACAAGCGAGCAGAGGTTCGAAATTTTCGGACCAGCGCGATTTGAATACTATGAGAAGTTGTTCGCAATGACCGACGAGGACATTGAAAAACATCGGCGAGCATTAGCCATACATCTTGCGCTCAAGCAATTTAAAGCCAAAGAGGAGAAGGATTGGACGGCGGAAGCGGAAAAGGCGAGATTGTTTCGCGAGAAGGAGGCGGCAATTGCGAGACTGTCGAAAGAGGAGCTGAATGACGGAACGCCTCGAGCTGAAGCTTTGACTCAGCACGCCGGAGAGCATAATATCATGATTTGCATTATTCTTGCCTTGACTCTTCACAACTAACCCTAATATAATGCGTATTTTTTTTAAGTGCATGGTGTCCCTATAATATGTTATATCTCATTGAATAACTATCTACCGCGCATTTTCTTGAATAAATTGATAGGGAGAAAGTGAAAAAAGAAAAAGAAGAAGCTCAAAACGTTACCAAGGCAGGCAATATTTCCGTCCATTCCGATATAATTAAGATTGTATTTGTCAGCATCAACTTCACGCGGATCCTGAAATTTCCATTAAAAAAAAAGAATTTACTTCAGATTTTCTAAACACACTTTCTCCTCTTTGGTGTCATATGAGAAGATTTCTTTTTGCCTGTATGCCGCACTATCGTCAAAGTTCATTTTGGCATCGACACAGAACACTTTTCCGTCCTTGGTCTCGACTAATGGGTTGATTTCGACTTGGGTGGCATCGACGGCAATAAACAACTCGTACAACTTTTTGATTTCCTTGGCGGCCTTGAAAAAAAAAACACATTTTTTGAGTTTTTTCGTCGTTTTTGCTTTAAAATTTTAAATGCGTACGATGAAACACTTACAACGCCGACAAGTTCGCCGGAGAATTGCAATTGTTTGGCAATTTTGAGCGCCTGCGCTTCGGTCATTCCGATTTCGACGTCAATCGGTGTCTTGAAGATTCGCTCTGGCGTCTTCTCAGCGACCGCTTCAATATCAATTCCGCCGTCTGGTGAGGCAACAACGACGGGTCCGTTGGATTCTCGATCCATTAGAACTGCGAGATATGTCTCCCTATCTATATCAACGCCGGCGGCGATCATAACCTGATCGACGCGAACACCTTCGGCGGTCGTCTGCTTCGTGACAAGTCGTTTTCCAATCATCTCATCAATGGCTTCAAGAGCATCGGTTTTGTCTTTGGTGATATAAACCCCTCCGATTCCTTTGGTTCCGTTGAGGAATTTGCCTTTTCCACGACCTCCGGCGAGAACCTGAGCTTTGACGACGTACTCATGATCGCCTGAAACACAAATTTCCAGTTCAAATCTCTCAGAGCAATGCCAAATTATTCACCGAACGTCATCCATTTCTCCTCAGCTTCCTTGCGGCTTGACGCGACAAGGAATTGCTGAACACTGCAGCCATGTTTGGCAAGAACTTCTTTACTTTGAAACTCTTGAAGATTGAGGAATCGTTGTTGTTGCTTCTAAATGCAATATTAAAAAAACGGCAACCCTTGAAAACGAGTTACCAAGGAGACAGCCCGCGAGACTTTTCCAACACTTCGGAGCATTTTACCTAAATCATCGAATTTCACCACGACTTTAAGAGTTGAAGAAAATAGAATTGCAATTTAGAATTGCGACCGGTCCAATTATAACAGCGAAATGCTAAAAATTTCAAAAATCCTGAAAATGGCTTTTCATGGCAATTAAAATTGCTGGAATTTTTTTATTGACAGTCTTACGCTAAAACGCGGGCGACCGTCCACGCGACGCGTCGTTGCACCCCGCCGCGTTTCATCTAATCCTCTCCATCTTGTGCACTATTTCGCAGCGTTTTAAATTTTATCAAATTTCCGCATTTATATATGTGATTCTTCATATTATCGCAGCTTATCGCCATGGCTGATCGGTTTCACATCAAACAAAAATTCATGGAGGTTGCCATTATTCTATTAAACGTCATTTATGTAAGCGGTTTTGTGTAAATTCTCATCAAAACAAATCAATTAAAAAATTGCAGGATATTCTCGACGTAATGCGATTGATTCCCTATCAAATTGGGTGTTTTCTATGCGCGGTTCCGAAGAAAATAACAAAGTGAGATTGAAATCAAAAATTGAATCGATCATTGCCAATTTTAGTGACTATGATCCATCTGTGATGATGCTTCGAGCGTGGTACGCAATTCTGGTGTATCTTTTCTACGACATGGTGGAAGCTCGATCGAAATTCTTCAGCACTATTGGCCAACAATTGAGAGGTGATCAATTCCATGCGATAATCGCGCGAAATTGTAACATTTTCAGATAATTGGAGCTATTTCGTCGACGTTATTCTCGCATTCATCGATGTTGTCGAAGAAAATTTCGAGTTTTCGGTTGGCGCCGTTCTTCTAGCGTCATGTGAGCTTCAATTCAACCCAAAAAAGAATCCATTAATGTTGCCCATTACAGTTACCGTTTATGCAATTCAAATGATGATTGAAAACGAGAAGCAAAAACGGAGGAATGAGCTTATCGATGACGATATTGACGCCGAGCGGCCATTGTCGGATCGCAATTTTGTTCGGAATGTCAACGCGCCGGTGAGAAGTTGGGGAGATCAAGGTAATTAAACGCAATTAATCGCAATTGAAGCCTCTTTTCAGTGTTCCCAGAGGATCGTTCATCATTTGTGCCGCCTTCAACTTGCATGAAAATTTATGGACTGCTCTCGGGATGCGTGTAAGCTTAAAATAATTGAAAAAAATGAAGCAATCCTCAAAAATTGATCATTTTATCGATGATATTTAAAGAGACACTGGCAATGTGAACGACGACGTCCAATTCGTGTACCGCGCGCTTCGCGAGCGTCTCGTTCGTCCGAACACCGCCATCACATGGGTTCACATCAATGTCGATTGCATCGAAGACCGCACATTTGTGATGTTTCGCGATCTTGACGCCGCCAAAGAGGCGTTCAAAAAGCTTCACGGCTTTTATTTTAATGGTACGTCCCATTCGAGTTTCCCATCGTGTGGCGGCTCCATTGAGGCTCCTCGTTGTCACCGATATTTGAAACTTTGTTTTATGATCGGTTGGGGGCAATAGAAAGAGATAGAGAATGGGGGGCTCCTCAATATTTCTCATTGGGACCCCTCACCACCATTATTGTCGTCGTCGTCGTCGCTGTTGGTTTGTTTCATCGAAATTGTCATTGTGTTGAAGATGCGAGATGATTATCCCCCGGCCAATTATGGTATTGAAGGAAAATTGGTCTCGACGCGAAAAATTTTTTTGTTTCTCACGAGAAACATTTGGTCTTTGAGCTCGACTCGTTGATATTTTGATGTTTCCTCGTTGAAAACAAAAATCTTTTCCGGAAACCTTTTTTTTTGTTGAGAAGATCACTCGAAAACACGCCATGCGCCTTTAAGTTGAAATCCAAAAGAAATCTTGAGAAATAATACACCCAAATACAGTATTTTGGGATTTCTTTGTTTATCGGTACGATGCCCATCAATGATTAGCACAATCGATCCCCGCGACTTCCTCTTATCTTCCTCCCCAAATGCTCACACATGGCCGACCATGAATATTCTATCCGATTCTCAATTTTATATGTAATAATTATTGGAAAAATCGCACATGTTCGAATGTGTTGTAATGCCGTTAAAGAGCATCATGTGCGGCGCCCATATGCGCCTTTAAAAACCAATGAATTCAAAAGGTAAAACGCGTTGATGTTTTTGCTCGCGTTTTTTGTTGTTATGTCGAGCTCGAGGTCCCGATTACTTATTTTGCACACCTCTTTTATTTTCTTCTTTTGCCTTTTGTGGGGGTCTGCCGTCGCCGTCGTCGTCGGTGTTTTCTTATGTCATTCACATTCTCATTTCCTTTTTTGGACATTGTTTTTTCTTGACTCGCGATGATTCTTTTTTTTTATTTTGGGTGACCAGGTGTGATGCGCCTTTAAACGTTGCGATTGTCCGAGGCGCCTTTAAGGCCGTCCTCACGATTTCACAAATTACCATTCAACGATATTCACAATAAACGTAAAGTATTTCGAGGCATTCGTCTGAATCACAGCAATTTCAAATTGAATTTGATTCTTTATAAAATCGCCTAGCGTAATGCGCCTTTAAACTAACAATTTTGCAATTTTTGATTCTATGCGCCTTTAAATTGAAAATCGTTTTTTTTCTCGAGTTTTTTGAATCGAAGTTTCTCAAATTTTTTGAAGCTTAAAATTATTTATGATTTGCAATTTAAAATAATTGGAATGTTCGCTGAACTATCGTTTCAACTGCCCCAGATTACTGTAGCACTAATTCAGCAGTGTCGATGATTCTCTTAGTAGCCTCCATCCAATTACGCTTCTTTACTAGAATCGCATGCGCCTTTAAATGACCTCTTGGAACTTTGCGAGATTCCAAAAAAAAATAAGAAAATTTGGCCAATAATCATGATATTCCGTCGAAAAAGTGCACACGTCGTTGTTGTTTTTTTTTTTCCTTCTGTGATTGATTGAAGCAAGTTTTTTTTTGTCTCTCACTCGCCATTCTTCGGCAAATTTTTGTCCATTTTTTGAGCTATATGTTTCCATCGGCGTTTTATCCAATTTGAACTGGTTTCGTTGGCTTCCTTTTTTTTTTGATTTTTTCTTATTCGAGTTGCTTTCGTTTTTTTCTCTCGTCTTTCGAACATTTCTATATGGAAATGATACTTGAAATAAAAACAACCGAAAAAAAAATTGATAGGCTTTCAATTGACAGCCGGATGAAGTCGACGCTGTAAACACAACGAGAAGCCGCACTTTTTTCTAACGCCCCCCCCCCCCGCTTCGTCTTTCGTTTCTCGTTTGTTGATACGACGACGGCGGTGTGTGGTATCAATTTTCAGACGTTTTCGAGTTTGTTTTTATCGCCGCCTCAAATTCTGCGCTAGGCGCCCCGTGAACGATGTCGACGCGCTTAGTCAGACGTTTGAGGTTAAATTCCGAATCGCAACTCTTGCGTCTCATCAAGCTTTGGGTCTTGACGCGAAAAATTCCGTCCTACCGTAATAATGATTCGATTTATATGGTTTAAAGGCGCAGAATTGAATTTGATAATTTTTGTCAACGCGCTTTAAATATATATATATTTCTACTTTCACAAGGCACATTAAGACCCCCCCCCTATTATGTTCCTCTAAAGTAGAGAATTAAAGGGACGTGATTTGATGGATCTAATCAAATAGTATGCGCCTTTAAATTGATCTACCGTAATTGATTTTGTTGAGAAGGACCCTCTCCAAAATTTGTATGGCACTCGATAATTGCGATAAGCTTGTTGCAGTTCAATCTCACTGTTTTTTTTGTGTGTGTGTGTGTTTTTTCCCAAAAGACGACATGCGCCTTGAAATTCGCGTTGAGACCAGTGTATCTACCCGGGACAGGTTTTCCCGTGATCCCGCGTCTCGTCCCTCAACTACTTCCCGGAATCCCGGGATGAGCGGGTCCCTCTAAGCCCGGGAAGAAGTCTGCAAACACACACACACGCGCAAACGCACACTCTTCGAATATTGCGTATTCTCGTTTTTTTTTCGAAATTTAATGAATTTTGCTTAAAAAGTGGCGTAGGAAGTCCCTATTTGGAATTTGTTAAAATATTGCAGAAAAATGGACACAATTGCAATGTCCAAATAACGATTATTCAAAACTAGCAAGGGTCATTGATAATTTTTCCCGGGAAACTTCGTCCTGGTCGAGATACACTGGTCGAGACATACTGTAAAAACGGAAATTTGTCCGCAGATGATTCTATTTCTCAAACAACAATTTTTTTTCGGGAATGACGCAGTCGTTTGGCGAATGAACGATTAGTTCGCCTACAAACTAATCCTCGATGAGCGCGTTTTGACAAGGAAGAAATTGTGCACTTGAAAATTGAACGAAAACGTGCTAATCAAATTTTTTTTGCGAAATACGCAGGTACTTTATTTTTGTTGTTGTTGTTGTCATCTCTTCACTCATGAATATTAATCGAAGCATGATGTGATTCATGCGCCTTTAAACTGGAATTTTGGTGTCTAAACGTGGACCATCGAATTTTTTTTGGAATTGCCGCCCACACGGGTCTCCGCAATTGGTCAAGGTGGAATTTTTTGCGTTTTGAGGGAATCCATCTGCGGACATGACACGCTTCTCATCCGCCCAACCATTGACGATATAATAGTGTAGATTTGAGAATAAAACACACACAAGTCGTCGATGGCTGTGGGGGGGGGGAGACGCATAATTGAGTGCACCGTGAATATGTTGTTGTTGTTGTTTCTTCGTCGTCGACTTCTTCGTCAGTCATTCGACGTCGTCGTCTTCTGACGTGAAAATGGAAAAATTGCGTTGGGGTTGGGGGGGGGGGAAAGCTGCGCGCAAATGATGACTGATACCACTCTTGAGGGTTTCGGTTGAAACACTCGTCCGACGTTTTTTTTTCTCATCGCACTCCCAAACTTCAACTTTCGAATTGTCATTTTGAACTAATTGGTTGTCACCTTTTTTTTTTGGTTTGTCGGGTCTCGCAACGAGCCGACGCGTCTGCGTCTTCAAGTAGATTTGAGCTCGAATTCGAATTGGGAAAAGTTGAAATCATAGATGTGCGGGAAATTTCGCGAAAAATCGGGGAAATTTTCAAACAACGATTACTGTGGATTTTAAAGGTGCATGTGGGAAAATGTTTTTTTTTCTTAATTTTAGCAGCTTTTTTTTCTTTTTTATTAATTAGAAAAACTAACTGAAATTTCTAAAACCGCGCATTTTTCCGCAATTTTTATTTCCGGATTTTTGGACCGTGAACCCGTTTTTGCGAACGGTCCTTCCGAGATTTTAAGCGTCAGCTTCATTGGATCCATAAAAAAATGGATTGGCTCAGACAAATCAAATAAAATATTGAGAATCGATAAACTTAAAAATACTTTTTTTTAAATCTTATATAGTCGGCGTCCGGGCGACTGCTGTACGCGGGTAGATTTACGCGCATGCGCCTTGAAAAGGTCTCGCCACGCGTGAATGCTTATTTTGCTGTTTTCACGTGAACTTCTTCATTTTTCTTGATGAGTTTCGCGTTTCCTTGAATTTCCAAAGTCATTCGATTTAAAAATCATCGAACTGGTCCATAAAATTTGAAATAACCTGTTAGTCCTTGTGGGACCATTTCGAAAGACGCATTCCCGTAAATCTACCCGCGTAAAGCAGTCGCCGGACGCCGATTATAAGATTTTCTAAAATTTATAGAGCAAATTCTAAATTATCTCAATAAATTCAAAAAATCTTATAATAATTTCTAAAGTTGATTGAGAAAAATCTAAAATATTATAGAGACACGTTAGTTTCTCAATAAATCTCAAAATATTTTATTCGATTCACCTGAGTTTATCGATTTTTCTTGAGTTTCACCTGTTGATTTTGGCTGAGCTTAATCTCCGCTAAGCCCCACTATCAGTTTCCTTTGTGTTGTTTTACATTTCCCCCTCAACGCCGTCTCATGTCATTTTTTTTCGACGTTCAAAAATTGTTTGAATATCACTTTCCGAATGGTAGATCAAATTACCAGATGGTGCACGTGCGCCTTTAAACATTGATATCGTTTGTCGACATGCTTAGATTAATTGCATCGACATGAGAGCAATTGGTCCCCCCCCCTACCTTCTCTTCATTCTTTTTTTTCTTTTGATTGATTGCGGTGTGCTCTTGTTACAACGCGACGTCATACTGTAGGGGCCCTGATGGTCCGATGGGGGTGGAGGGTGTTCGATTCAAAAATGAATGTTTGCGATGTTTGAACCCGACGAATATTAATAGTTAATTGGCGATAATTACGCTTCTCATTATATTGCATAATTATCGCGCCATGGTGGATTTTTTTTGGAGTGCCATCTGAAGCGACGGGTTTTTTTTTGAGAAGCCAATCAATGCCCTATTCACAGAAGGGTTTTTATGATTGGCTAGCTGCGGACAATTTTTCTTCTTTTTTTTTGGGCCCCGCTGTTTGAGTGACACATTTTGAGCTCGATGACTCCCAAAAGGCCCCTCCCACTCCGCTCAGCTCGCCCGCCCCTCTCAAATGTTT